ATTTAGCACCTGCTGTCAATATATAGCAACTAGATGATTCGCGCAGCAAGTGGCCATCGATTCCATATGATTGCACGTACGCCCACAGCCTGCTGCGCGGCACCCTACCATAAACTTTCTCCACGTCCATAAATAACATAAACCAAATTATATGTAAACCGGATGAGCGAATTCCCACTATTTCTCAGCATTCTGGCGTAAAGCGAAGATCTGGTCAGAAGTGATGACTCGAAGCCACACCGCTGTTCGTGGCAAAATAAGATAATGTCTCGATAACTGGAGCAGTTTCTGGCATCTTTCATCCTGAACAGGGGTAAAACCGGCCCACAAACAGTAGAGACAGGACGCAGCCTTGGCGGAAACCAATACCAACGCTGTAAGGCTTCAACTTAACGCCATTTACTCTGACGCAGCAGCTGCTATCAGAATACAGCGATTGGATAGCCCGTAACAGTTGGCCATCTATCCCGTATTCTCCTAGGCATGACCACAGACTATTGCGCGGGATCCAGTCATAGGCCTTCACTAGCGTAGGGCGAATATATGATCCGAAATGCGTCAACCGGGCCGGAAACCATACTGCCTATCTTGTATCTTGGAGTCAGTTATATCGCGGCAGTAGCATCGTTGCGCAGGCTTTACCCGGGAGGGTCAATTAGATAACTGAAGCACTCCCCGCGGTTACCTTTCTTGAACAGGGATACAACATTTTCCTTCCTCAGTCCGCCGGTGTCTTCCTCGTAGTCATTGCAGTCTGACAGACATGTGTTCGTCACATCAAGCTTTACGCATCTCAGGGTGGATTTCATCTATTCCAGTAGCCATCTCACGTTTCAAGCTTTCTGCTTAATCCGTGACTTCGTCTACAGAACGACTAATATCCGTTGCCTACTGCTCGTCAGGCGAGACTCTGTGGTTACCCAGAAAATACCTTCGCCATCGCCGAAGTATATATTCGTTGATAAGGAGGCGTCTGAACTTGTCCTTGAGGATCCTGAGGCCGACTTTCTTTCCATCAGGGAGGAGAGGGATAGCCTGCCATAATACCTTGTTCGTTGTCTGGACACTCGACTCTAACACCTCATAAAACTTCTCCCAGAAATCACCTTGTTTTGACCAGTTAACAAATATTGATTAAAATAGTTTTTTCATTTAATCATTTAAATATAGGGCTGAATTCAGGTCTGAATTCGTAACCAACGTTAAATTTGAAGCGAGGTCCGCAACGATGCTGCATCTGGAGTAGCTGTACTACCGTTTTTTGGATGAAGAGCGCCCTTGTTTTGGTTCCGGGGTCGTTGCTTTCCTTCGTGCATTTTTGAATAATACAGTGAGTGACAATTTCATCATGCAATGATGGCTTCCTCTGTTATATGATTAAATTGCCGACAAACATAAGACATTTGAACGCAAGTCTCATGTTACAAATTCAACACCATACTCTTGCAACCTTGTTCTAATACTAAAATTATTCAAAAATGTACAAAGAACAGCCATGGCCGCGGTACCAAAACAAGGGAGCTCGCCTTTCAAAAAATGTAAGAACAGCTATACCAGGTTTGACTCGATCCACGGGTGGGTCGCCACCTAGAGATGCAAAATCGTTGCGGATCTTGCTTTGGACTTAACATCGGTCGCGCAGTCACTGTGCAAATAATCATATGAAAATCTATTCAAGGAAACAAACATTTGTAAACCTTAATGAAAACGCCTTGGTGTCCTAGTGCCTATATGCCATTGAAACTTCTTTTGAAGTTGCCTGGCAACCGAATAGCATCCAGAAGGGTTCACATCGTTCACAGAGTGAATACGTATGAGCATCGATTTACGGCAAAAGGCAAAACCAACTAATCGGTGAAGGAGAGCTTGCAGCATGAGCCGA